ATAATAATAATTTCAATAATATATGTATATATTTTTTTGTATATATTATTTAAAATATATTTTTTTTATTCAAATAATCAAATTAAATCTATATATATTAAATAAATATTAAATTATATTCAAATAATATATTTTTATATATATTTATAAAATCCCCATTATCATCCAATCATTCAAATTCGAACAATAAATCCAATTTAAATAACCTAAATTTATAAATATCGTCTCCAATAAAAAACAATAAAACATCAAAAAAAATATAAATCGAACAACAAAAAATTAAATAAATAATCTAATTTTTTCTAAATTCAAAACTTTCGAAAAAAATATTACCTAATATTAAGTATCTATAAAAACATATATCAATCTCAAACCATTTATATTCAATATATAAAACTAAAAATTCAAAAATCTAATATAAATTAAATTATCATTAAGATTAATTATATAATTTCATCACGATAAATATATCTATTCATTCATTCACGACCGGCGGAGCGAATCCGCCCGTGTTGGGCGAGCAATCGACGAAAGTCAATCGGCGGTCTCGAAGGACAGCTAGCCCGGGCGGCTCTGGCAGCAACTAAGCGCGAAAAAGTGGCACGAACGGGTTTGGTCGGTTGACCACTGTACGGTAAGCATCGGTCAAGTTGTTTGTTCGTGTCAGCCAAACAACATAGATGTCTTCCTCCATTGCTGTCACGTGTGGGACAGAGATGGGTACTCGATCATCATCACACAGAAATCTGCCGCCCCCCGTGCGGAGGAGGCATTGATAGTGGCCTGTGGTCGGTTCATGACCTCGGTGCAAGGCAGTTGCAACAACCTGATACTCAATCCATGTGACCGTCCGTCCGGATGAATGCATGAAGCACGGCATCAAGACATGTTGTCGATTCCAGCTGATCAAGGTCTTAGATCGAATGCCAAGTGCTGGAAATCGATTGATCTGCAAGCAAACTGTGGTAGCGGAGCCAGCTAGTCCTAAACAGTACGGGGGTTGGGAGTGCCACATGTGAACAAGTTCTTGCAATGTGCATCCGACGGGCTTTTCTTCTCTCATGACGATTGGCGAGCAGGTCCAGCCCCAGTCCTCTATCGAGGCATCAAAACGAGCCTCCCAGCGAGGTGCCTGCGAAGTCGTCACGAAAATCGGACGGTGCATAGTGTGCCTAAGCCAACCTAAGAATTCAGCCACATCGTGCTGAGCCCCCTTGGCATGTGAAGCGAACCAGCCATCAAGCAAGGTTCCCAAACAGCTTGGGTCAGAGAGCCCCAGTGAGTTGGGTCCCCGGTCCAGCAGCCGCATGAGTGGCTCCTTCCAAGTGCCAAGCATATCCCAAGAAAAGGTGTTGTCCATACAACAGGCCCAAAGTTCACCGATCAAAGCGGTGTTCATGAAGCAATCGTTGGCCTCATTGCCAAGGCTCATTTCTAACAGCAATGTCCTCATCTTTTGAGGGTCCGGGCCACCGCTTGTGCCAAGGGTGATCGTTGCAATGTCGAGGGTCGTAGCCGCACTGCAATCAACTGTGTGAGGCCATTGCCTGTGAGCTTGGTCAGGAGGTCGAACAATTCCTGGCTGGCTGAACTCCTGAGGGAGATGTCGAGTCTCCAAGGAATCACCATATTGGATGTGGGCCCCACCTGGTCCGAAGGCATCGGTTTCAATGCCGTGAACCGATGAATCAGTTCCGGCTGGTTCGCAAGCGTGTGGATGCGTTCGATCATCTTTGAGGCATCCTCGGAGGAGATCGGATCTCGGGACGACGGCTTCAGTGTCTTGTCCTGATGGTCCCACTGAAGATAGTTCCATGCATTCGTGGTGGTCAAGATCTGTTTGGACCGAAGGGCCAGGATCAGTTCGTGGTCGTTTGACCCTAGTGGAAGCTGGGCAGCTCTGCTTGCAAGTTCTTCGAACACCGACTGAAACATCAACTGACGGAGCGGGCGATCTACCTTGCCTTGCTCTCGTTGGCCATGCCATGTCCTCGAGATCTGAAGCATCTGCGGAAGGATCGAACTCTTGCCGGCCTGGATGAACAAAAGGAAAGTACGATCGAGGTTCAACTGGTTCAGTTGGTCCTCTTGCCTCAAGGTCAGTCTGGCCAACATACCCAGAGAGTGGAATCGTCGACCGAGCCCGAAGCCGATGAGTGCGATGACCTCCTCTGTCCGGATCGGAAACGCTGCTGACCGGATGAGGGTTCCTCCTCGTTGGGTCGTTGCCGTTTGAAGTGACTGGAACACACCTCCATCAGGTCTGAAAAAGATTGATCCTCTTCTTTCAAATGATCCATCCCGCAGACCCTGGTGGAGGCACCAATGATACCAGTCTTGGGCCAGGACATGCTCAAGTTCGAAGAGGCATGTTTGAAACAACTGGTGTTGAAGATACAAACTGTCATGCACTTGAACGTGATCAGGATGGAATGGCGCGAGGTCATCTGAGTTCCACGCCCAAAAGATGGGATGTACTCGGGTGCAAACATGAAACAGGTTAAGAGGCACTGCATGCTCAATCTGAACCTGCGGGTGATCTGTGAAATGAGCCAACCAGGGTGGGACATAAACATACCAACTCAGTCTGTGTTCAGGCCCAAAAATGGGTGTGTGAACCACAACAGAGTACGAATTGCTCAAAGGATGCGCACAAAGATCATGAGTCATCGTGGGGTGCCAAGCTGGCGTGTCAAGTGCCACAGGGGCTTGGCCCTTTACATGGTGAGGCAGCAATCAATGCCCTGACCTGCTTGTCAATGACAGTCTCAGGTTGGTCATGCACAAGCACTGGCATATCAGACTCGGACATGGTCATGTGGAGAGAGCGGTCCGGTCAGCAAGCAGGTCCAAAGTGCATGTCTTTGATCCATTCGATCAACAATGCTGGGCACGTGGCACGTTGGTAGTGCAATTTATATATATTCAAATTCAAATTATATTCAAATAATATAAATTAAATTATATTCAAATAATATATTTTTATATATATTTATAAAATCCCCATTATCATTCAATTATTCAAATTCGAACAATAAATCCAATTTAAATATGCTAAGTTTATAAATATCGTCTCCAATAAAAAACAATAAAACATCAAAAAAAATATAAATCGAACAACAAAAAATTAAAATAAATAATCTAATTTTTTCTAAATTCAAAACTTTCGAAAAAAATATTACCTAATATTAAATATCTATAAAAACATATATCAATTTCAAACCATTTATATTCAATATATAAAACTAAAAATTCAAAAATCTAATATAAATTAAATTATCATTAAGATTAATTATATAATTTCATCACGATAAATATATCTATAAAATCAATATATATATATAATTATTTAAATTATAAATCAAATAATATATATATTTTTTTTAAAAAACAAAAAAATATCCTCCTCAACATATTTAAATATATTTAATCCTTCTATTCCAAAATCAAATCCCCCAATCATTCTTTTAAATTAAATCTATTTAAGGTAATCTAAGATATTTAATCTCCCAATTTCAAACCAATTTTATTCATTACCATCGTCACACCACCACCATCATCACCATCTATCACCACCATCATCACCACATCTAAACCTTAGACCTTTAAATACACTATAATACACTATTTAGGATCTCTTATCGCAATAAAATCATTTAATATATATTAAATAAACTAACAAATCATAAAATATTCATAATAGTAATATGAATATCCATGAATATTCTACGTAATAATATTATGTTAAATATATTTCTGAATCCCAAGAATCGATTTGTTTTATTTTGTATAATAGAAATATTAAATGCATAATTAGTATTAATTATATAATATTTTAAGATTAATTTAGTTATTGGTGTTGATTATGGATATACATATATATATATGTATGTATGTATATGGTTTGAGTAAACCATGTCAAATGAATTTTACATTGGATATGTTCAGCAATTCAAGCGCAGTGCCAAGCTCACCCATGCAACGAAGCCTGAACGTGTGGTTTCAGGTGGATCTTGAAAGGTTAAGATCCAATCTCCCAAGGCAGATTTCCCACGATAAGCTCCGAAACTCTCACTTGGAGGTATGCATCCTTCACAGTTGCTATCACTGAAAGTGGCATCGAAATCTCCAGCTGTGCCCCCACTGCTTGGAACCTTTAGGTGAATCTTGGGAAGATCACCAGGTGCTTGAAGATCGACCTCCAAACCGGCGGTTTCTAAGCCCATAGTACTCAAAGTCAGCTGCACTTCTTCAATGATGTAGTTCTGCAAGCTGGGCAAAGCTTTCACAGAGATCTTCACCTGGAAGTTCCCAGTGCTTGGTGTCTCGAAGTGCTCTGGTGCAATATGCCATGGACTTGAACAGAAATCACAAGAGGGTGTACAGCGCTGAAGGCATGTGCAGTCGGCACCAGAGTAGGGTGATTTGCAACAGGTTTGCTTGCAATGCTCGCACGAGTCTTCGAAGGGATGGAGAGTAGGGTTGAATTTCACGTTCTTCGTATTGTTCTCAGTGTGGTTAACGGTGACATTGCTGAAATTCACCTCAGGGTCACCATCGTCAAAATCAGGACCACTCAACGCACTCCCAGACCCAATCTGGATCAATGAAGGGTCTTCCACCACCTCACAAACCTCACATCGTCCAAAGACAGCAAGGCTGAGGAGTCCGATCAGACTTAGCCACATGGCGAGTGTGAACGTGGGTTCGATTGAGCTTCAGGATACTTCAGCCAAAAATGCACCAGTGAACACCCATGGGAAGATTGGGTCCAATTATCTAGAAAATCAAGTAAAACTGCAAAAAGCCAACGCGCACATGTTCTGTTCTGCGTTGCTATGTCAGATTCTAAAGCACAAAGCCAAACACACGAACACGCTGCACGATGATTGCACCTGTGCATGTTGATTTTCGCAGGCCGCTGAGTTGCTTCATGGAAGCAATATTGGGGTCACGAAATTGACATGTAGTTGACAATCAAGTTTCTCAAGATTGACAATTCATGGAATACTGCTTCTCCTTAACCTTCGCCTTTGAGATTTCCATGGCGCTTCCGGTTCCGGTGTCTCCTTGTCATCCCCCAACAAGGCAGCTTCGTATTTGCGAATGGTCTCTTTCATCTCCTCCAAGAAAGGAGAAAGAGACGTGGCGGAAGCCGCGACATCGGCTTGCGTTCCGGCTGTGGCCATTGGCGGAGTCGGTGTCGCTGGCGTCGACAGTGTCCCCGTGGCCGAGTTTCCCAAGTTCGCCATCGATGGAGGTGGAGGTGGAGGTGGTGGCACGACTTGGCCAGGGCTGGTGGTGGTGAATGAAGGCACTGACTGGTCTGAAAGGAAGGATGGAAATGATGGAAGCATGTTTTTCAAGGATCTAAGTGCAGAATCAACCAGTGTGCTTGCTGGTTTCAGGTCAGTTGACCCATTAAGCTTGTGATCCTGTTGAGCATCTGGGACTTCGCGTGGCATCCACTTGAACTGATAGGTCGGTTCAATGGGCAATTCAGACTTGATGGCTTTTTGAAAGCATAAGTACGGCAAGTAAAGCGTTCTCGTCGACGAGAACTCGTTCACCACCTCATCCAGCTTCACTCGAAGACCCACACGGCGTAAGCGCTCCAGCAATGCTGGTGGATTTCGCACGAAGTTCTCCCCCAGAAAAACGCTCAACGGAGCCGGAGCTGACGGAGCGACCTTCGTCTCCGTCGTCTCCGTCGTCTCCGTCTCTGTCAGCGACGTGAGAAGAGAGAAACTACTCTCGTCGTCAAGGGAGTTGTGGGCCAAATCCAATGCTCTTAGATGTCCCTGTTGAAGAAATTCACGAAGTACCGTCATCGACCTCACGACGCGTTAAAATGTGTTGTCTTTCTTTAAATGCTTTGCATAATCTGAAAAAGCAAATCCAAACCAATTCTTGCTTCGGAGCGTGCCTGGGAGTTATGGAGTTGGAGGCTAAATAAAGGCGTTCCACCAGCAAAGGCATTGAAGACAAACAGTGCAGTAGCTTTTCAACACCTCCCGGACTCACTATTGCAGGACACGAAATGGATGTCTCTTGCGAAAGAATAAGAAGAACGTCCATGCAAAGTCATACAAAAGCAAGCAGCATCTTAGTATTCGCCGGTGCCTGGTGATCATGTGTGTCTTCATCTTACTTGTTTTGCTTTCACTTGGTCTTCATCTCCAAATCCGGCCTTCGTCTTGCAGATTGGTTCCCCGGAAATCCGCCCAGCACGGCAGCTTGGGCGCCACCGATGCACCAGCCACGCCAGCGGCATAGGCAGCGGCGTTCAGCGCTTGTTGCACTAAACCCTTGGGGGCCAAGAGCCAACGTGAAAGCAGTTCCAGTCGATCCATTCCAAGGAGAAAACCTCCAAAGACCAACTCTAAGCGATGTGGAACCGATCGTTCATGGCTCTTGCAAACCACTCGGACGCGACCTGCAAGCCATTCGGGCAACGCGTCGGACGTGTGCCATGACCTCTCCGCATGTCGCCGTGGTCGTTTGGCATCTCCGTTCCACGTGGCCATGACCTCTCCGTCCGTCTCATGGCGGTGCGTGGCGCCGAGAGAAAGTGGCCCTGTGGCCCATGGGAAAGAGTTTCTGTTGAAAATATCAGACTGCTGGCATAGAAGCAAAAAACAAGGCTAAATATGCATGCTTGGCAACCATTGATCGATTAAAAACAAATGAAATATAATCGTCGAAATGTTAGATATTGAACGAAGGGAACGAGTGGTTCGTGCGTGGAAATGGTACTAGTAGCAATGCCCTGGTTATTAGTAGCGATGCCCTTGTTACTAGTAGCTTCTTGTTCCTAGTAGTAAGGCCAGGAGCTACTAGTAGCTTCCATCATGAAGTTGAGCAAGCTCAAGGCTCACGGTGAACAAAGGTCTGGTAGAATGAAGGCAAGGGCTACTGCTTTGCTCCCTTGATTCATTGTTGCACTGCTCTGGGCAAAGAATAATACGTAGCTTCTTGCTACTAGTAGCGTCCTTGCTCCTAGTAGTAAGGCCAGGAGCCCCTAGTAGCGAACCTTGTTACTAACAGGCACACTTTTTGCGCTTCACTCCGCATCACTCCGCATCATTGGCCTGGACATTCCCCATCTCGCACTCCCCACTCCCACATGTTTTCCTAGCACTGTCTTCGACACGCTTCCATCTTCCAACTGTGCTCAAACTGTGCCTTTCCACTTTTTGCAGCCTCTGCCTTGGCAACCAAGCAAATGCATAGCAGAAGGTGTTGCTATAAAGGCAAAGAAGACAAAGTCGGACAAATGGAAAGCTTTACAGAAGGCCTCAAGAAGAAAAGGAAATGAACTCAAAAGACATGTTTTTGCATGTCGTCACTGAACAATCAAACAGCGGTCCTCGCGCAACTTTTGAAGCTGCTCCTTGACTGACGCTCAACTGACGCTCCGCCACAGGGGTGGAGGTACTTATACACCATTCATAAAACCTACTTGCGATGGCCTCCAAAATAAGAGCGATTTGTGCAACGGTGTGCACATTGTCCGCGCCAGTCTTGGTTTGCTCTCACAAGTTGGGTGAAGACTATGTGGCAAGCAGGTCACGTCTGCCTTTGGTATAGGATTGTTGGCCTTCAATAATTGATTCCATAGATGGAGGTCCAAAAAAGTCCGTTCGTATCACATTGAGAAAAACACAGAGATTCTCAATATCTTCACGCTTCGGTCCTCGTGAACCTTGCGTCTCTCGTCCAGCCACTCTTTGATATTGGCCACAGCCTCCTTAGCCCAAGCCAAGGAATCGGAATCCCACATTATCCCACCAACGGCGAAAACCAAGCTGTCTGGGCACCTCTGGTTTGTTTTTGAAGAACATGAAGTAGCCTGGCGATGAAATCGGGCGCCAGAATCAGTCGTCCAAGCCGACATAGTCTTCATCAATCCGCTCCCACCTTGCAGCTCTGCCATACTTAGTCCCTCGTCCTCAAAGGCGTGTCTGTTGGTCCCAAATGTTGTTTCTCATAAAATGAGCGTCCTCGCTCCTAGTAGCTTCTTGCTCCTAGTAGTAAGGCCAGGAGCCCCTAGTAGCGTCCTTGCTCCTAGTAGTATGGCCAGGAGCCCTAGTAGCGTCCTTTAATGTAATGTCGCAAGATGTTTGCATCATTTAACATCATTGAACAGCAAATTCTGGGTCTCAAAGAGTCTCGGTCCTCGCAAACAGTGGCAAAGGTTTCCGACAGATCCTGGCAGGAAAGGTACGGAACATCGAAGCATGCCGGAAAACCCGCTGAAATTGTCAATCTCGCCTCTTGACCAGGGAAAAACCGCAAGTACATCATTTTCAGCTGTGACCTAACATCTCGTTCGAAGAAACGAGCAAGCTACGGTGGCGTGGGACTGCCGAGAGGTTGCGAAAGATTGCTTCCCACCTAGAAAAAAATACATACACGAAGATCCCACGGCGTCCATACACAAATTACAAAGTCACCTCCTCCAACCTACTGGCGATGGCCTTCAACCTGCAATCATACACTCTGAAGAAGTGTGAAATTACACATAAGCAAAACCAAACACATACACACACTGCTTGCAACCATCCATCCCGCGCCTCAACGCTCCTAGTATGGAACCAGGTATGCAGGGTAGGGGACAGTGGTGATATTTGTACGAAAGAACGTGTGAATGCATCATGGACATGCAATGAAAAGAAGTGAAACCAAATCAATTGGGCACTCTGGGTGCTGGGATTGCAAGCGGTTTCCTTCGCGATATGGCAAAGTGCGCAGATTTATCTGATTTCTGCACGGTGTGTCAATGCGTTCATAGAAACCGGTGCTTGCATGTAGTAAGGAAAACAAAAGAGTTCTCGGATCTGCAAGATCCACCGTAGGGTTTGGCAAAGATGGGTGACGACGACCTAATAACGTAAAACCAAAGCTAAGGTGTTGTAAGCCCATTGCACCGCTTTTGTGGCAAGTAGGTCAAGGCAGCTTGTATAAAACCCAGCTATACAACGGCCTCCAACCTACTAGCGATGGCCTCTAGCGAAATAGCAATGGCCTCCAACCAGTCTCTCAGTTTGGTTTCAGGAAGCCAAGATACCTGGAGGCCAAGCCGATGTATATCGACAGATCAACTCGCCCAGGTCTTACCAGTGCCCTAGGCAGTGCATGGAAGTGGTTCGTAGTCATGAAGACCACTCTCTCCTGCGGTTCGGAAACTCCGCAGCCCATGGTGTAACTCGTAAAAGAATTACACCGGCATAGACCCCAGATAGCGACTAAGTCTAAAATGGGGAGACAGTTGGGAAGACCAGCGGCAGCGACAGCGGTGGACCAAGCCATCGATCAGCCACTTAGTCATTGTCATTGAGAAGCAAGAACCCCTATGGCTTTCAGCTACCTGAGGGGGAAAAAGCCACCAGTCGACCTATCTAGTCGTTTACTCAATCACCTCCTGCTTGCTTCATCCGCACCGGCCACATCTTTTCAAAAAATCCGGGCTCGATGTATCACGCCTCAGTGGCGATGACGCCATCCAAGGCATTCAAGAGGCCGCTGAAGCTCACACGAGTGACCTCGTTGGAAGGAGAGATGACACTGATTAGCAATTTTCTTTTTGACAAATACATCAAAAGAACTCCAAAAAACATCCAACCAAAATAACCAAATGGTTCAATCTCTAGGATGTCTTTACAGATCTGTTGCTCTCTTTTGCCGGTGGCACAGATTCGTGTTTCTTGATGCTAGCCCGGAAGTCTTAAACGTCACCCGGTCAAGAGTGGTGAAGTGGTCTACAAGCTGAAGGCAAACAACATATCGTTATACGAGTAGTTGTCATCTTGTTTGCTTGTTTAATGAACAATGACCTCTTTCGCTACCAAGAACAGGGCCCCACACTCCTGCATATGGCCCAGAGGGATCTGCGGGGGTTTGCTGCCCCACGGCAAAGTCCACATCCTGCCCAGAGCGATGGCCTCCAACCTAATAGCAAAACCAACCTAATTAGGAATGGCCTCCAACCTAATAGCACTTATATAAATGATAAGGTGGCACACAAATCCCCTAGGAAAAGTGCAAGCGCCAATGCTATGCCAAAAACCAAGGGTGAAAGCTCACGAACTCATGAATGATGAACCTCGACGATCAATAATAGTGTCTGAAGAACTATGGTGCGGAAGCTATCTTTCAGAAGCTAGGGATGTTGCGAACATGTCGGAAACTATGAATCGGAAACTGCCTATGTTCTGGAAACTGTTTGGAAAGGTTCGGAAGATTGTTACTACTAGTAAGGCACTTGTTACTACTAGCGTGGCACTTGTTACTACTAGCGTGGCACTTGTTCCTAGTAGCTTCTTGTTACTACTAGTAAGGCACCTGTTACTACTAGCGTGGCACTTGTTCCTAGTAGCTTCTTGTTTCTAGCTTCTGAAACCGTGTTTTGGAAGTCATTTCGGAACCGCATGACCTCCCTTCCAAGCCAGGAAGCAAAGAACGTCACCCACTCCCAAGCCCCACCCCCAACCAACCCTCTCCCCACCCACTTACCCCCAAGTCAGCAAGTATAGATCCTGAAAGGTAGATTCTGAACCTGAAACGAGTTCTTGAAACGCACATAGTTTCTGAAACCCACGAGTATAGCCCCTGAAACGTGGCTGCTGAAACGCGTGCATGGTTGCTAAAACAGAGTTTCTTGCTCGATGACCAATGTCAGACATGCAGCCAACCAACATCGAACTCCTGCACCAAGTAGTGACAAAGGATTTCTCACCCACTCCCCACATCTCAAAACATCAATCCACAAGAAAAGGGCATGTCGAAAAAGCATGTCAGTTCTTTAGACGTTTAGTTTAGACCTTTTTCAAATAGAAACCATAGAAAAAGGTTCAAAGGTCTAGCCAAAAAACAGGACATTGCGTCAGCCCTTTCATGTCCTGTACATCGAAAACGGCTCCAAATACAACTCCAACCCCATTGATCTCCCTCGGGCCCTGCCTCCAAAAGCACCAAACATCGTGGTGGCACCACAGCGAGCATATGTGCAAGTCGGTCATCGGTCATACTTGGGTCACCCAAGTTGAGCACACAAATGTTGTAGCCTCGCACGCTTTCTTCGCCAAGCTGAGTTCGGGGCTTGACTTGCTATAGAAACAATCCTATCAAGAATGTGTTTCAAGAAAGCATCAATCACAAAGGTTGGAGCGCTACTAGGTTGGAGGCCATCGCTAGTAGGTATCTAAGCAGTGGAAGAAACTTGCTGAAAGCCTTGTAAGGAGCCTTGTAGGGTGGAGTTCCGCCCAACAAGGGTTAGGGCTTTGCGTGGCCTTCAACCTAATAGCGATGGCCTCCAACCTAAGAGCGATGGGCTCCAACCTACTAAGGATGGCCTCCAACCTAAAAGCTTTCTTAGGTGAGTGGAAACCATGTCCCCACCATACTGAGGCCAAGTACCCAAACGACCAGCAAGCGCTGAGACAAAGGAAGACCTTACTTTGCAACTACGTCCTTCGGAATAAGAGCCACATAAGAACCACTCTCTGCAACTACGGCGTGCAGCAATTCTTGATGATGGCATATTAGATGAACACTTGCATGATTCATCATGATTCTGATGGCCCGAGGCGTCCTTTTCTTGCATGATCCAATGATATTGAATGATATCCAATGATATCCAATGATCCTGCTCTTGTGCTTCGACAGATCGAGGGCTGCACTTCCCACAGCCAGGTGGGCCGTGCAAAAGGTAGCCTCGTCGATATGGGATACCTCTGTCCAAGTACCTTACGTCTCGGGCAAGAACTGCTGACCCTTCTCAGTAGCGCATTGGCCACAAACAAGAGGGCGGCACCATTTATGGCTCTGTAGAAAATCCTGGATGTCATCAAATACCTCCCAAACAGCAGGATGGCATGGTTTGCATGTTTTCTATCGAATCATGGAAATCTGTTGGACAAATTGGTAAAAAAAGACTGAAGCGCACATGATTTGAAACTCCTGAATCCAGAACCACGGAATCGAAGGGCCTGCACAACTTGCTCAAATTCACTATATTTCACCAAAACATTCGCTCCTTTTCTTGCTACTAGGGGCTCCTGGCCTTACTACTAGGAACAAGAATCTACTAGTAACAAGGACGCTATTAGGGGCTCCTGGCATCGCTACTAGGAGCAAGGACACTTCTGGGGGCTCCTGGCCTTACGAAGTTTCCGATTTCGCTCCCCTGGGTGTTGGGAAGCCTAATCACCCAATCGCCCTTTGTCAAACGAGAATCTCATTTGGGACGAGGAATGCGAGTGGCTTCTCATTCTCATCTTCCTTCTTCCTCTCATCTACTAGTAGCTTCTAGCTAATTCTTAGTAACGATGCACTTGTTACTAGTAGCTTCTTGCTACCAATAGCGATGCCCTTGTTACAAATAGCGATGCCCTGGCCTGATTCTCTTTGGATTTCCAAAGGGCCTCCATTCGTGCCCGTAACACCTCAGCGTCAACTCCAAGTCATGTCGCCGCTCCACTCAGTGAAAGCCAAGCGACTGGTAGATGATTGTCATGCCCTCTTCCCGTTCAAGAGCTGCCTCCAAATACGTCCGACGAGGCAACATAAATCAAACTTGAAAACTGGCTTGGACAGTTCCCTGGCTCAAAATTGTACAAGGCGAGTCAGGCCAGGCAAATTAGAACAAATCTTTCTCGCCTGTTTCGCCTCCGCCAGGATGTCTTGGAAGACGTTGGGTCGAATCCTAAACGGACAGCATTCATTGGGATTCTTTTTCAGCGAGTAGACCTCCGACCCGTCACCACTAAGTCAACCCTAATGCATTCCAAGTGATTGTACACCTTGGTTGCCGGTGCCAACTGAGCGCCCCAACGACAAGGCTGTCAGCGTCAGCGTCTCCCATGGAGCTCCGGTGGACATGTCCACGGTTTTGGTCTCAAGAACGACCAGCGAAAATCAAAGCTGTCAGCTGCTAGAGGCACCGGAACGAGTTTATTTTAGATCCTAAAATAAGCTGTTGAAGCATAGATAACCATTGTGTTCATTTGAGGCGGAGGTCAGGAGCCGCTGTGACGTCATTCCTCCCATCGGCCTCTCGGGCTCGGTCGACCAAGATGAAGTTCCCCCGCCACCTGGCGCGGGACGCGACGCTCAGCGGCTCAGCCGCTCGGCCGCGAGCGGAGCGGCCGCTCCGGATGCGCTCGACCTGACCCAGTGTCGGCCAGGACTGGGAATGAAGTCGAAAGCTGCCTGGCAAGCAAGTAGGAGCAAGGACGCTACTAGGGGCTCCTAGCATCGCTACTAGGAGCAAGGACGATACTAGGAGCAGTGTGTTTCACGTCAGTTCCCATGTCCGTCTGCAAAAAACTCAGACTTGATGGATCTTCTTTGGGGTTCTCGCATTCGTTCCTTCAAGCTGAAGCACCCAATTTCTTGGATACAAAGCTTTGTGTGGCTGATCAAAGCAGGCGGGGTGGCGGTTTGTCTTCCCGCTGCGTCCTCGAATAGCTGGGAAGAAGCATTGAAAAGTCCGAGTTCCCGGCGCACACCATGCGCTAGCCTGTTTGTTTCTTCGCATTCTGTCTTGTCTTTTTCTTGCTCCTTGTCCTCTTGCGTTTGGAGAACAAACAATGCAACAAGCGATCATCCAAATCCAAGATGCACGGTGTCCTTGCTGTAGGTGGTTTCCACACCCAAATGGCGTGAGCCATGAATCCGATTGGCTACCATCCATTGCATGACCTTCGGCGAGTGTGACGTCGTGTAGCTGCAAGCAAAGCGTCAAGTAGATAACCCTTGAACATGTCAAAAGGCTCATTAAGCACTAAAGACTGACATCATCCGCGTGACGAAGGATCAGCTTTCCACCAGGGATCATGTCAAAATCGGTCAATGGCTGGAGCCATGCCATCGGGCTCGAGGCTATCTTGTGTACCATGCGAGACTGGCAGGTTACGAGACTCGCACCCATTGGTACGCATAGTCTTTGGAGGGTATCTCCAAGGACATCAGAACCTGCCAACGAATTCAACCAAATCTGAAAGAAATGCTTCCTGGCTCATGGCCATTGAGTCCAGCAACTACACAGACCTTAAGAGATATTACCCTGGCATTCGGTTTGTCGGCCAAAACGTGACCAGAAAGCCACATGGGCAGTTGCTCACATCAGAACACCACCAGCCTGACGTCGAAAGACCACCTCTGCCACAGCTGCCCCCCGGGACAAAAGGCTCATGGCTGCACCTCGGGAAAAAGAAAAGAAACAACCGGTCTTCTCTCGTCACTCGGTGATGACTGAGTGTTTGTCCCATTGCGCCCAAGCCGAAGCCTGCTGTGAAAAGCCTGGCTTTTGGACCAAAACTTGGAAAAGCGCAAAACATTTCATGTTGCACGATAAATTTATGAGCAAGGACGCTACTAGGGGCTCCTGGCATCGCTACTAGGAACAAGGACGCTACTAGGGGCTCCTGGCCTTACTACTAGGAGCAATGACGGTACTAGGAAATAGTAAATAGATGGGTGGAAAAAAGGAGCAAGTCTCGCAAGAAGAATTGTAGCAGGTCAGAGACTGATAAAGGCACGTTGGCTTTGTCAGCACGCACGCAGAGGTTGGCAAACAGGGCGGCAGCGCGGATTTCCCACGAGCCATTCCGGCAACGGAAGTGGAAACCTTGGCTTCGACACCGGTGCATGGTGAAGAAATGCGCTTAGGTCTAGGTGCTGTGAATTGTCTAGAATCTCTAAACATATCTGCATCCTTCCTACCCTCCTTGCTACTACGAGAAGGCGCACAGTAGGCACACTTTCACTCGAGCTCCTGGCTTTGAAGCATCGATCGGAGGCATTGGCATGGACCCCGAAGCGCCGGCACCGGCACCGCCGAGGGCTGCCATGTTGAGGGCTGCCATGTTTCAAGCGAACGATGCTCAGATCATTCAATCATGAATTTCTGAGTTGAAGCTAGTAACAAAGGGCATCGCTACGAACGGAGCAAGGACACTACGAACCTAGCTCCAAATGCAGATCTTCCGAAGTTCCGGTGATTTTGGTCTTGAGTAGTTGTCCAGAGTGTTCACCAACTCCTGTGGGTTTCTCTGCATTGGTGCTGGCTTCCAAAAGCATTGCTTGTCACTTTCGTTCAAGGCTTACGAGAAGATGGGTCATACTCCACATGTCCGATTCCAATATCTTTGTGATATATGCATGTATATATATATATATTATATTATAGAAAAATATATGCGGGTCTACCCTGCATGTATATATGCATGTATATATACTTTAAGGACTGTTCTGAGATGCTTCAAGTTTAGAAATTGAGCTCGATAAGTGAAGGCTCCGGCGAAAGCGCTGCGGTTTGCAAATCGTACCCACATCCAAACTTAAATCTGAAGGTTTCAAATTCCACGTTGCCCAATCCTTTCTCGCAAGGTTCAACAGATCGCATGGATCCAAAAACATCCAGGATCCAATGCCAAGATCAGTGCAAAGGCAAAAGCGGCGTAGCACACAGCTAGAGCCGCTGCCCAGAATGAGGCTTCTTAGAAGCACATCAAGAAAACGATGTCTGGATCCGGAGATTTCTTGTGGCGAGGAGCCACACTTGGTCTATTGGCAGGACAGCCCAGATGTGTCAGTTGTGACATGGTGTGACTTATCGATCAAGCACACTCCATAATGCACCCTCTGTCAGCTCGTCATCGTCCTTGGAGATTTGATCAAAGAACCCTGAAAAATCGTGAGGTGTGAAAATATATCTTCCAACATTTTGACACTTAGATGAAAAGGTTGGAGGCCATTGCTATTAGGTTGGAGGCCATTCGTACTAATTAGGTTGGAGGCCAATAATTGCTGCAAAAGTTTGAATAAGCGAACCGCAAGAAGAAACTACAAGTTGCTTCTTGTTACTAGTAGCGATGCCAGGAGCCCCTAGTAGTATCCTTGCTCCTAGTAGCGATGCCCTTTGCTCCTAGTAGCGTCCTCCTAGAAGCTTTGCAAAGCCATTGACATGCCACACCAGTCCACACCCACTTTGGCCATGGAGCGAAGAAGGCTTTTGGCACTGGCAACGGCGCAAACTCGCCCACCGTGTGGGGCCTTGATGGAGGTGCTGGCCTGGAGCGATCGTGCGAACACCGTCGGTGGACACCGTCTCTTCCTTCGAGCAGAGGAGAAGTGCTGCTGGGCGAGAGCTACCATATAAGAAGCTACTGAAAAGCAACAAAGGGCATCGCTACGAACGGAGCAAGGACGCTGCTAGTAGTTCCTGGCCATACTACTAGGGACGAGAAGCTTCTAGGGGGGGCTCCTTACCTTACTACTAGGAACAAGAAGCAAGGATGCTACCAGGGGCTCCTGGCCTTACTACTAGGAACAAGAAGCTACTAGGGGCTCCTGGCATCGCTACTAGGAGCAAGGATGCTACTGGGGGCTCCTGGCCTTGCTACTAGGAACAAGAAGCTACTAGGGGCTCCTGGCATCGCTACTAAAGCAAGGATGCTACTAGGGGCTCCTGGCCTTACTACTAGGAACAAGAAGCTACTAGGGGCTCCTGGCATCGCTACTAGGAACAAGAATCGCTACTAGGGGCTCCTGGCCTTACTTCTAGGAACAAGGACGCTACTAGGGGCTCCTGGCCTTACTACTAGGAACAAGAACGCTACTAGGAGCTACTGCTACTAGGAACAAGGACGCTACTAGGGGCTCCTGGCCTTACTTCTAGGAACAAGGACGCTACTAGGGGCTCCTGGCCTTACTACTAGGAACAAGAACGCTACTAGGAGCTACTGGCCTTACTACTAGGAACAAGCACGCTACTAGGGGCTCCTGGCCTTACTTCTAGGAACAAGGACGCTACTAGGGGCTCCTGGCCCTACTACTAGGAACAAGGACGCTACTAGGGGCTACTGGCCCTACTGCTAGGAACAAGGACGCTACTAGGGGCTCCTGGCCTGGAACAAGGACGCTACTAGGGGCTCCTGGCCTTACTACTAGGAACAAGGACGCTACTAGGCTCCTGGCCTTACTACTAGGAACAAGGACGCTACTAGGGGCTCCTGGCCTTACTACTAGGAACAAGAAGCTGGTAGTAACAAAGGGGATCTAACATCAAAGCGCCTGTCGAATCGCGCTGGGCGAGAGCTCGGCCGCTTGTTGGCCTGGGTCTCGCAAGTACGAGGCCGATCAAGGCCACTAAAGGACACGGGTCTGGAATGCTTTCGAGAGCCTTGTGAAACAGGAATTGCTTTCGTGTAAGACAAATGCGGCGAAGTGAGGGACCCCGTTGCATACCCCGACCCACAACCGGTGCCACTCATGGTTGCAACTGACCCACCGGTCCGTTGCGGGAAGTGAGTTTCAGTGTCGAAACCGAGTGTTCAGCAACTTCAGTAAACACTCTTGAGCATTTACAGTACTGGTCTGGGTCGTTGTGTCTTTTGCTCTGAGGAAGACCCCAGTTTATAGTGGAAACATGTTTGTAGCTTGAGCGCTCTAAACTAGCTACGTGTTCCCGGACCATCGTAGACCCCAAACAAATCCTGCTTTCATCTGCATTCGGCAGAAGAACAAGTCAACCCCTTCTCTCCAACTTGGAATTTCCAAGAGACAAGTTCTTCAGCGTTGACCTCCGTCAAGGTCATACCTGGCTCCGTCTCCCCTCAAAGACTGAATTGGCTCCGATCCCCAGTGCCGCCAGGTTGGAGGCCATCGCCAGTAATTGACCTACCGAGACGTGCCGCTCCACTCCTTTTGGTCACCTGGAGGCACGTCCCGCAAAGCTTTGTTGCGGGACCCGAAGCAGGCGAAACAGAATCTTGGAGCGGAGAGGCGCAAGTCTTCTGGAAAAGGACGCCACTAGGGGCTCCTGGCATCGCTACAAGGTGCCAAATGAAGTCTCCAATGGAGGATCGCCGCAGCCCTGTGTCATTACTTCACATATTGGGCGTCTCATGTCTCATCTACAAACTCGGTTGGTTTTTGTCAAACGGTCCACAAATGTCAAACGGTTGTCTTGTCTACCTCACCGTCTGACGGTCAACAGCGGGAAGCTCCGCTCTTCACAAACTGGGTTTCGATCCTTCCGGTCGAAACCCGGCATACTCCGCATTCACCGGTGGACACCATCCACGCCCACGAAAAAGCTGCTTGTTTTTGGGATAGTCTTTGAAGACGCCAAAGTCTCTGTCATGTGTATAACTCAAACAAACTGGATCTGGAGCCGCTTCCTCCCGAGCATATGCTGGCATTCGATAGTCTTTGCTCTGTCGATATTCTGAGGAATGATTCCACAAAATCAGATTCAATCTCTCCCCTGATGTGATGTCATCTGCTCCATGTCTCTTCCTGCCCAAATGTACAACACAATGTCCCTTCTTGTGAGAATAGGTCATGGAGTACTTCCGATGATTTGCTGCTCCAGCAGCCCCGCAAAACTGAAGACCCGCTCCAGCAAAGTCCAGGCCAAGGCACACGTTGAATGTCACATCAGAGTCATCTGTATGCATATCGAGGCCCAAATCTTCGCCTTTCAGGGGTACGACATGTCCGATATATGGAGGCCAAAACAGGCCATCGCTAGGTTGGAGACCATCGCTATTAGGAGCTACTAGTGCATCGCTAGTAGGTTGGAGGCCATCCCAAGTAGGTTGGAGGCCATCGCAAGTAGGTTGGAGGCCATCGCTCTTAGGTTGGAGAAGTCGTAGCTTTACCTTCTGATCGCAGTCGTACTTTGGCCTTCACCATCCCTCCCACACCAAACTAGCGACATGCCCCAGCCTTCCCGATACCGAACGATAAAGCAATGATGGCCATCCCAGCAACTTCCAGGTCCGGGGAAAAGCTCTTCTCCCAACTTTTGAAGAAACTCTTGGAGCTTCTCCACAAAGGGCTCAAGTCCAATATCGCTCAAAATGATTCCATAGTTGTTCATGCTGTTGGGTCGCCGTGCAGGAAGCCCCGAGCTGTAGAAATTAAAGATCTCATCCAGCAAAAGATCACAAAAATCCTCCTTGAATAGGGGGAATGAATAAACTTCTCCAGGCAGGTGCTCCGTCAAGACGTCCTTTAGTTCTTCTTCTCCCTTCATCAAAGCCCAAATCTTTGGGTGGAACCAGTCTTCTTTCAAGGTTGTTATTGGATCAAACAGCTCATGATGTCGACAAAGTTCGCCATATTTCTTAATGACTTGCAAGCGTTGCCCGTTGACCCGCGCCACATCGCGACACCAATTTTGGAGCCGCCGAGCCTCAGGCGACTCGGAGCCTTCATAGCCCAGGTAGTCCTTGGGATCCAACAAGAAGTGCCGAAGGCTTTGCAACAACTCCACCATGGCCTCGTCTGGGAAACCGAGCAAAGAAAGAAACGGATTGTAGGAAACAGAAGTTATTTAGGTTTGGAGGTTATCGCTACTAGGGTGGAGCCCATCGCTATTAGGTTGGAGATGGTTGGAGTATATACGAAGCTTGTGGCATCAACATGCATCAACCATATCAAGTATATCAAGCATCAAACTTGCGAGCATTGGTTCGATATCTTGAAAGCACGCGTGTCTGACAGCTTCTTTGGTTTTCATAGAAGTCTGATTGGGAGTATTTCTTCTCTCCCCAAACAATGGAAGCCCTGCAGTTTATCTCGAATTACTCCTCTATGGCCAGTCAAGCTTACCGGCTTACTGTAATGTCTGTTTAACGGTTGATCCCAAATTTGATTGAGCTCAGACTGATGGCCAATGCTTTTTCCGGATGATATTCCATTCTCTTCTCCACAGAACTTGTACCAAAAGCTTCAGAAGTGCCTGCGCACCAAAAGATCTTGCACCTACTTCGTTTGAAGCTTAAATTGGCAATGTAGGAATGGAATTCCTGCATAAATCACTTTGAATTTTAACTGCTTAAACTGGTTTGACTCCGTGGCTTTTTTTGTCCATCAGTCGTTTGAAGTACCAAACCTCGAATACCTCACGTAGCGGAAGGGCTGGGAGGGGCGAGACTTGAACCGTAAGTTGCTTGTGAAAAAATAAGACCTTCGAACTTGAGTTACAAATAGCGATGGGGAAACCTTCCCTAGCTAGCGGGAAACCAAAGTGAGAAGTCACTCTGGTCCGGTCCTGCTTCTTCGAAACCTTGAAACGGTTGGTTTGCTTGGTCGACAATTGAAATATCAAACAAGCCATGTGACCATGTTTTCGGGTCTTGCAGCTTCGCCTTACAGCTTCGCGAACGTGGTCTAAATGTCCGAACATGATGTAGTTCTTTGGGTCAAATGTAGCCAGGTTCATGCCCCCAGAAATGAAGCAGGAAATTTTATAGTATCGATATATCTATCTGTCTAAGAGTCTACGTATGTACACAGCGTTATTAGACAACAACATGTACTATTCTACAAACATCAGTCGAGTCCAAGAACAACAAACAGTCGAGCGGCCTGTCCCTGTGATTGCGCTGAAGATCGAGCTGTAAAGGTGTCCCAAAAGACTTTCGGTGGTCTTCGGTCGTTGCTGATCAATGGGAAGGCCAGTTGACCACCAATCCGAACATCTGGAATAGCCGCTTCTCCGAAACGCAGCCGGACTCTTAGAGGAAGAAAAAACGATGCATGATCTGGATCACCAGTCAGTAGGACATGTAGATCCCAAGGTCCTGATGGATCTTGGAGATGCATTTCGCCTTCATCATCCACAGTTAGCGGACTTAACTTGGGATCTCCCACTCTCACAATGAAACTCTGCCGCCGTAATTCGTCTGCAACCTTGGGCAAGTCTTGAGGCTGGCAGCGATGTGAGAGGGGCCGATGTCGCACAAGCAGCCCTCCAGCCGCGGCCAGAAAGGCCTTGAAGGCAGCGAAGCCGAACCGCCCCTCTGCCTCACCGCCCAGCCCAGATGCCCGTGCACAGATCTTAGTTCTGTAAGCCCGTGCCAGTTGAAGACGAACCCGACCGAGCAGTCTCGACTGCATAGGCGTCAACATGCTCGAAATGATGACTTCTTCCAAACTTAGATGTATGTGTCCATGCTCAACAGTGTTTGGGCCCCTCTTTTTCACAAGGGACATCCCTGAAGGTGCCAATTATTGAGCTAGTTATAGTTTGCGAGTCAGAATTGAGTCAGGTGAACTTGCGAGCCAGCAAGAGGTTTCAAGAGTGCTTCAGCGTCCGCTGACCACGCCGCGCGCAGGGGGAACGTGCGAGGGGCAAAGCTATCAATCGTGACAATTCCAAACACTTCAAACAAGATGTTCTTTTGTTTGCTTCGCTGTGAAAACAAATCCACCACTGAACGCTAAAAACTCCCATACACAGCCATACAGTGCCATAAACCATCACCACACCTGTGACGAATTCCCGCTCGAGTGCGCTCAGTCTTCCAGACCTGTCAACGGAAACATCTCACGTCAAACTCGTCTTTTCTGACCTCATCACGTCACCCAAAATGGCGGGCAGCTAGTCGGTTGGACACCATCGCGTTCGTAGGGAGGCCATCACGGCTGTTGGGTTGGAGGCCATGACTATTCGGTTGGAGACCCGATTCGTCTGCGCCTTTCGAAGCTTCTCCTTCGCTCTTCACGGTCTTCGGCCTTGAAGGCAGAATCGGGACCGTTGAGACGAAGGAAAAAAGGATCAAAGTGGATCTTGCCTCGAACCGAAGACTCCTTGAAAAGAAGCAATTGAAATTTAGATGTTTAAAAAACAAAAACATCTATGAACTTGGCAAAAAAACAATGATAGAACTTTGCAACTCAGAAGGGGTCGACAATTCTCAAGGGAACAGTGCATCGTGGTAGCCAATAGTGGACACGGTTCTCCTGATCATGTGCTTTCGCAAGCTTCGTTGAACCATCACAGCCTTGCAAGGCGAATCGTATGCTTTCACCGCCACATCTCTCACAATGTCACAGTTGACAAAGGAAGCAGCTTCAATGATAAAAAAGAAATAAAAAGAAAACCGTTTGCAAAAGTTACAAAAAGAAAGATAAGGAAGAAGTCAGTCGTGTTGTCATTCTGCATGTCGGATCGGCATGCATTCATGCATCGTTTTGTATGTCTGGGCCTCCAGATTTGGTTGATCCGCCACCTGAGACAAACAAGAGAGAGAGAGAGAGATAGTGTATGTGTGTGAGTCTGAGTCTTTGAAGAACACTGTAACTAGTGAAAATATCCTTGGCAAAAGTCCCGCATAGTCCTATCATTGTGCTTCATCCGCAGCTTCGTTACGCAACGTTTCGCATCGCTGGATTTCCACGTCGTTGCGAAGCTCAGCACCTCACGTTCTCAGCTTCACCTTTCACCGCAGCCCACCGCCTCGCCGCCCAGCCGCCGCCGTGGCCCGCGGACCCCGCGCCCGACCGCGCCGTGGTCGACGCGGTCCACGACGCGCCCGGTCCGGTGGCGCCGGTGGCAGCGGTGTCGGTGGCCGACGTGGCCGAAGCTTCGTGCCTCCCAAGTCGATCCAACCAGGTCCCCTCTGTCCCTGTCCTAAAGAAGGATCGAAAATGAGAGAGAAAGAAGAAGCTACTAGGAACAAGTGCATCGCTAGTAGTAACAGGTGCCTTACTAGTAGTAACAAGAAGCTACTAGGAACAAGTGCATCAATCTTCAGCTGAAGGGCCTTGAAGTGCCTGAAGAGGAACTGACTGCCTCAAAGGCTCACAGGTTGCTGAGGTGATTAGCTGTTTATTGGACAAGGCAAAAGTGTTGTGCCAGGAGCTACTAGTAGCGTGCTGGCTCCTAGTAGCGATGCCCTTGTTCCTAGTACGTAGCTTCTTGTTCCTACAGGAGCTACTAGTAGCTTCTCAGATAGTATGCGGCAACATGATCACGTGCACATGGTCCGCTGTGAAAAAGCGACAATATCCAAACTTGTTGAAACGATGTTCATGTTTTTCCTCAACACTCCGATACTCTGGTAGGATCCCCACACTTCTTGAAGCCACCTTGTGAACTTGAACCTGCGCATGGCTTAAAAGATCTCAAGTTGGACACAACGAGACAACAACAACATCAATCAAGTCACAATAATTTCAACATGCTAAAGCAAGTGCGGGTGAACCTTCAATCCGAAAAGCTTCCGTCACTGCAAATTCTTTTGACACTCACCTGGGGCCTGGGGTCCGGGACCCCAAAAGGCTTGAAAATGACTTACGTTTTGGACGTCGAGTCTCGATGAGCGAGCCGAGTAGCAATGGCCTCCAACCTACTAGCAATGGCCTCCCCTCTAGTAGCAAGGTCTCGTGAAGAGAAACCGAGTCACTAAACGTGTCTCAAGGAGGCTCGAGTCTCCGCCTTCTTCCACATGTTCCACCGTCTCTTCCAGGCCCTCGACCTTTGCTCAGCCTGACGCGTGGCGCAATCAATTGCGCACACCACGGCACGACGCGTTGTAACGGCCACAAGAATGTCCTGTCGTGGTAACGACGTGTTTGCTTTATTTTGCGTCACAAGAATATGTTGTTGATCACCAGTCACATTGGGTTCTATGGCAGACGTGTCCGATGGTGCTCTTGATTCAAAAAAAGGAAAGCCAAGGTCTGTGCTTTTTCAAAGCACAATACATCACAAAAATGCCCACAAAGAGTCTCAAGATGTTTTAAGCGATGCATTCAAAGATCACAAGGTGTTTGCCGCCTGGAAGTCTAGCTGCAAGTTGCTCGTCCGCGAGCCTCTTGACAGAACTCCCCCCAGATACACCCAAAGCACAAACAAGTATTGGGCGACACAGTTGAGACGTGACCATCCAGGACCTCTCTTTTTGACCTTCCAGGACTCTTCGGACATTCGCATTTCAAGCTGCAGGGCTTCTCCGTTTTCGTGGCACATCAGTGTCTGTGGTCACCTTTCGAGAATCCCAGCAGCTTGGTCACCGACTACTTTAGCACCTCAAGCCCACTGGTGTCTCCTTGGACACCTGGGGCCAATCTATCATGAATTAGGCCGAATCACACGGAGAAAGCCACGAAAGCCACGCATGCCATTCGGACTTACGGTACTCAAATTGTCAAAGCCGGGAATCACTTCCGATTCAATTGTCCATCAATCGACTTTTTCTCTGGTATCACTTGTCAGATCTGGGAAGGATTCAGACCTGCTTGTGCAAGTCGCACTGCCGGCGCTTCTTGTGAGTACGAAATTGTGCAGAAAGCGGTCAAGCTCAAAAAAGACCATTTAAAAACCGTATGATTCCGTATGATCTATCAAAATCTATCAAGATATTTCCTGCACCCGACTTCACTTGCAGAACCTGCCAGCTCTAGCTTTGATGGCTCACAGAGATGAAAAGATTCTTGGATCGGTCGATCGTAAAAAGGCTTTGTTCAAGCGGCTCAAGCGGGAGCTGTTCAGGCACCCTAAAGCATTGGCGGCAGCTGCAAAGCTGCTTCAAGCTGCTTCACGTTTATATATATAACCTCTTTGCAATCCAACTGAGCTGCTTTCAACCCTGTCATAACTTGCATGTTCTGCTCTTTGCATATGATCATGTCATAACGTCTCTTGGCACTTGGTCTTCTTATGTTCTGTTCACAAATTTGGCAGCATCCATCACATGAGCACGCACATCTCGTTGGTCCAGGCGCTCAGATCGAACCTGCCAGCGAGAAAGTTCCGCACTGTGGTGATGTGGTCCGCATGTTGAAAAGCATCCCAACACCACACCTCTCATCGCATCCCGAACTGCCAGAGAACTCGTAATAGCAGTCTTCTGAATGGTCAAGCCTCTGAAACGGAGTAAAGGCTCAGGCCTCTAAGCCCATGGGCCCATCGGTCCATTGTTTTGGGGAAATCCTCCACATGCGCTTGGGCCACGGCTTGCACAATGCTGTCTTGTCCGGTGCGAAAAGACAGTTCCAGTTTTCATGGCGGCTTTGCCTGGAAGCTTTTCATGGAAGATTTGGCCGGTTTCACCGCCACTAGTAACAAGAAGCTAGTAGAAACAAGTGCCTTACTAGTAGTAACAGGTGCCATACTAGTAGTAACAAGAAGCTACTAGGAACAAGCGCATCGCTAGTAGTAACAGGTGCCTTACTAGTAGTAACAAT